CGTATCGTGCCTTGAACAGTGGAGCTTTGCCTGAGAGTTGTTTTACTCCGTAGATCCATTTTCCGCCGACGATGTTAACGCCGGAAGGGGGAACGACATCGTCAAAGCTGTTGTTGCGAATGAACGCCTCATTCTCCACATCCATTGCTGCCTTCCACTCCTTCTTATAAGGCCCCGAGAGAGCTTCCTCTTTTCTGCGAGGAGTCGAATGGTCGGGTTCTCGGGGAAGTAGAGGGAAGGCAGACAGTAATGTCCGGGAAGATGTGAGAGAGAATTGGCAGACCGCGTAGGTCAAACAGCTCCTCATGCCTGTCCTCCATAAGTGCACGGGGGGAATACGGATGGAGGGACATCACACCCGGCAGGAGGAGGCGGGGTGACCGAACACCGGATGGAGAAGGCGGCTGGTCCCCAGGCGAGAGGCGGAGCCGATCCCTTGGAACGAGTGCGACTAGAGACCGGAGACGAAGGCAGCTGCAGTGGGATCGGAGGGACTGGGCTCTTACGGTAGGAGACTGGTGAGCCGGGCTTGACGCGTAAGGAAGGCGGAGCAAGAGGAGGTGCCGCTGCAGAAGATACCGGGGGAGGTCGGGTGAGACACGCCGGACAAAGAAGGCCCCGGAGAAAGGGCAGCGGCCGGAGTTGGGGCATCGAATTCTGCCCATACAAGCGTCGGGGGAGGTGGACGAGGCTCGCCTGTGGTCGCAGAGTGGAAGGGGCGTGTCTGATCGAAGATGACATCACGGCTGCGAATCAGCTGTCTAGTGATGGGGTTGAGGAATAAGTAGGCTGGGGAATCAGAGTTGTGCACCAGGTAGATGCAGGTCTGGGTTTTGGGACCAAGCTTGGCACTTGCTTCCTACGCGTGTGGGGGCTGAGCAACACATATGCGGTACACCCCCAGACGCGTAGAGAGCGGGCGGAGGGCGTGGCCCCAAGCCAGAGAGTGGTAGGTGTGGTGTCGGGCCGGTGGAGATGCGAATAAAGATTAAAGAGGAGAGCCGCATGGAAGAGGGCATATCACCAGAGTGACCGTGGTGCAATTGGCGTTACTGAGGAGGCAGCGAGCGATTTGAACCAAGGTGTGGTTGCAGCTCTTTACAATGCCGTTCTGCTGCGGGCTTTCGGGGAGCGTGAAGGTTTGCCGAATCCCTTGGGTCAGGCAGAAGTTATCGAGTTTGCCATTGCAAAATTCTCCCCCGCCATCAGAATGGAGGCACTTTTGAGGAGTGCCGAACGTGACTTGAGCCTGGCGCACCCATGCCATGATGACGTCATATGCTTCCGCCTTGGTATGCAGGAGGTGCACAGAAACATACCGCGAGTGGTCATCGACTAGTGTAAGAAAGTACGATGACGCCACGGGATGCGACTGGAGCTGGGCCCCAGACATCCATGTGCACTAGGTCCAGCGGAGCAGCTGCGACGGATGGGGAGGAAGGGTGCGGCTGCTGCCTGAGCTTGCTCTTGGTGCAGTCCAGCAGGTGGGTGCAGGTGAGTCTGTTGGTGGAGGAAGCGCGACGGGAGGCCAAGAAGAAGTTTCTTGGAAGCGATGTCGGCAAGTGTACGGAAGTTGGGGTGACCCAAGCGATGGTGGTAGAGGATGGTTGGGTTGGCGAAGCTGCGACAGAACACGGAGTGGTGTTGGCAGCTTGCGCTTGAAGAGGGCGGCGAGAGGTGCAGGTGAACGCAGCGTGTAGAGCTTGCTGTTGAGTGTGAAGCGTGCTAGGAGCTTGTTGGACTTAGGGTCAAGGAGGTCACAGTGATCCGAGTGCTGGGAAGATCGTGTGACGCCTGCCCGTTGGAGCTCGTATTGGGCCACAGATTGTGGCGTAGTGTGGGAACACACATGCCGGTGACACTGCCCGAAGGAAAAGCTGGGCACGGAACTGTGGAGGAGCCCTTGGCTGTGTTGTGAAACTGGAGTCTGCTCCTAGTAGACGGATTGGTGTCTCGTATGGCTTGAAGGAGTGTTCTTCCTTGAGAACCGTGTGAGTGGCCCCACTGTCGAGGGTGAACTCTATTGTGGCTGAGGTGCTTTGTGAGCCGGGACACTGCAAATTGTCTCATTAATCATGGCAGTGCCAGGGAACAACATGTTGAGGCGCACATCAGTAGGGAGCTACAGCCGCCTGCACGATTCCTGCGCTTCGACTTGATTGACCTTGCGAGGAGCACGATTGACCATCCAGCTTGGCGGCTTCGAGGCGGTCCCATTGACGGCATACCACTCGTCATCCTTCTTCTTGAAGCAGGAGGCAAGGCCATGTTGGTGCCGCTACACACCTGGCCCGCACGAGGGCCACGCTTGATGACGTAGGGACACGGGGGGAAGCGTTTGCGCTGGAATGGCGCCGAAGCGGCATAGGCTTGAGGCATAGGAGCACGGATTGCATTGGCCTTGGCTTGAGCGCTGTTGTCCTTTTCGACAGAAAGGAGCGCGGATGAGACCTTGGCAAATGTGAGGTCCGCAGGAACATCTTGCGTGTGACTTCGTATGACGGAGTGAGGCCGAAGGAGAGCGGCTGCAGGGATTGCTCGGGGAAGACTATCCCCAACTGTTTGAAGTTCACCATGAATGGACTGCACCTTGGTGTTATAGTCCCGCCATGCCTGGCGAGTCCTCGAGCCGCACTTGGAACATGCTGGGGATGAGTAAAGCAACTCCCACAGCAGTCTTGTTCAGGAAGCGGTCTTCGAGGTAGAGCCAAATGGCGTTGGCAGACGGGTATTGTGGTAGGTTTCGACGAGTTCGGGAGGAGTGGTGCCATGAAGACACTAATGACGCACCATCGGCCTTCTCCCAAATTTTGTACTTGAGCAGTACAACAGCATAAACAGCTTCGGTGGCGGCATTGGCTGGATCGGCAGACCTCTCGGGTTTAGGAGGCTCTTTGCCGTCACCAATGTTGAGAAGAACGTCAGTAAGCTCGAGCCCCTTCATCTCGCGACTGAGGAGGTGCTTGTCGACACCATAGCGCCAAGCCTTGTAGTTGGAGCATGTACCGTCCGGCTCGAGACGAAGGAGCGGGATCGGGTTGGCGAGTGAAGTGGTTGATTAAGCCATTCCCGTTTGATTTTTGCGAGGCGACGCTCTTAAGTCACCAATAAGTACTTCGGTGCACAGCGCGGCACTTCTGGAAATCGGTCGACGAGAATTGCTGAAAATCACTGAGATGGCTTCGCCGAAATGCTGCTAAGAAGGAAATGGCATCGGCGGGAATTTTGTTTAAAACCGACTTGAAACTAAATCTGAGCCTAAGTCTAACCCCGGACCCACACACCCCCCCACACACCCCCAGGCCCTGTCCCGCAGCTACACAGCTCCGCAACCAGCTCTGCAACCAGCTCTGCAACCTACTCCGCTCCGCTTCAACCTGTGTACCTGCTCTTGCTTGACGCAAGACGTTCGTGGAGGCGATTCTGCGAGGGGAGTGCGCCTATGCTGGCGGGGTCTGAGAGGAAACTCGAAAACGAGTTTTAAGAGATGGTCAAAATTGAGATTCGACCAAGGAGAACCGAGGAGGAAATCGACGATAAGAAGCGTGAAAGCTTCAGAGATGAGAAATTCAAAGAGGTCAAGCGCGAAGGCAGTCGACGATGAGATGCGCGACTGCAGAGTTGAGCACGTCGAAAATTCCGACGACTCGAGATGAATGTTGCGACGGTGAGGTGCACGTAGCGCGGGCACGTTAAGATGCCATGTAAGAAATAGAGCTGAAATGATTGATTAGGCAAGGAGCCCAAGGCTCTATAAGTACATTGCAAGGTAAGGGAGAATGGATGAAGGGAGAATCGGAGGGAATCCCCATTGGGATCTCCGGAATCTCCAATTGAGTAATTGGAGATTGGGGGGATCACAATTGGGTGAGGTTGGGATTTTGTGAGTACACCCCAACCCACTAAAACATTCCTAACCTAAACTAGGATATAACAGTACAAATACAAAAGTAGGATTTGCAATCAGTTGATCACAGGCACTTATGATACCCAAGAATAATCAAAATAACCACTTTGGATAAAATAATCCGAGTGATAGTAAGGAGTATTGTAGGTAATCAATAGTGTCATAGAAAATATAGAAATTGTCCTTTCTCCTAGGAAACCTATCCTACTCTCACACTTCCCCCCCCTCAAAGCTGGGTGGTATGTGTAATGCACTGCTAGAGTAAGTACAGGCGGAGAGCACGAGTAGCGTTTCCCATGTCGGATTCCTTAACCGAGCTGTCCTCAGACGGGTCATAGCCCTTCCGATGGATGAGAAACTCGATTTGGCCTTGACGTCGGCGTCGATGAGCATGCAGACTCGATCTCTTACTCAGGTTCTCCGCTGATGGTGATAGGAGTAGGCGACGGAAGCTGTCGTCGTGAGTAGAGGTGATTCGGGTCCTTGTAGGGTTTCAGGAGTTGCCCATGGAAGGCATTATGAATCCTCCATGTGGTTGGGAGTTTAAGGCGGAAGGTTATAGGATTAAACCGTGCCCCCATGACAAAGGGTCCACAGAACTGAGGCAGAAGCTTAGAAGGGATGTGGCGAAGGTCAAGGTTCCTAGTGTCCAACAGAACAGAGTATTCAATCTGTATCTGATGGTCCCTTTGGCTCTTATCTACTTGTCCTTTCTGGGAGGTTTGCTCCTTGTGGAGGTGCTTTTGTGTAGTATCCTAGAGTTGATGCATGGCAGTGATGAAGTCGTGTGCCGGTTGAACTTGAGCAGGAACAAGAGGCTATTGTGGAGTGAGGGGATGCCGTCCGTAGCAAAGGAAGAACGGTGTTTGTCCTGTAGCACAGTGGTTAGCGTTGTTGTATGAGAATTCCAGTAGATGTAACTGCTGGTCCCACATGCTTGTGCCATCCTTGAGGCAACCCTCAGCAGCTTCCATGATCCGGTTTAGTCATTTTGTCTGCCCATCAGTCTGTGGATGGTAGGCGGATGACATCGCAGACGAGTTTCAAGGAGTCACATGAGTTCCTTCCAAACTTGCTAGTGAACTTCAGATCTCTGTCAGAAATCAGTCCTGGGGATCTCATGGAGGTAAGCGACTCGGTAGAAGAACAGTCGAGCAGTTTCTATGGTAGTGGCGTTCGCGTGCGTAGCGATGAAGTGGCCGATTTTTTTGAATTTGTCGATAACCACCATGATTGCATCGTGTCCTACTGCCATACGCGGGTATCCTATAATGAAGTCCAGGCTCACTGTATGCCAAGGCTGTACAGGAACGGGCAGTGGTTGGAGGAGGCCTTCTGCTTAATGCTCTTCATTCGCTGGCACGTATCGCAAGATGTAACAAACTCCTGGACAAGGTCCTAAATAGCAGACTTTTTTGTCAGATTGTTTGATTTTCAGACTGGTTTTTAGGGGTTTCTCTGATTTTTCAGACAACGGTTTGAAAATACTCTGATTGGCCTAGACAAGCTTTTAAGATTTCTCTGAATTTCTCAGACTAGGTGTACCAGTTTCTCTGATTTTAGACAAGTGAATCGAGTTTCTCTGAAACAGAGACATTCATGTGTACCGGCTCCACACACACCCCTCACACTCCAAAGATTTCGACGAAGTCCCCCACACCAGAGACATTCCTCCCCACACCCCTCACATACAAAAAAAAATGCTAAGTTCCCGACACCAGAGACATTCCTTCCTCCCCACATCCCTCGCACCCCAAAAAAATCGGCTAAGTTCCCCACACCAGAGACATTCCTCCCCACCCACACCCACACCCCTCGCACCCCGAAAAAATGGGCTAAGTCCCCCCCCCACATCAGAGACATTCCTCCCATACCACTTGGGGACGGGGGCAAACCCTGAAACGGCAGGGCTAAAAGAGAGGGCTGCCTGCACGTGACACGTCACGTGAGTCTCATCGCCCTTAGGACCTGCTCGAAAAGTGTGCGTTCTTAGCGGACGCTCTCGAAGCGTGCCAGCAGTCCTATTGCGCACGTTTCGAAATCGGCTGGAAATCGTGCCCGAAATGAACTCCCGCCAGAAACGACAAATCATGGCTGACGAAAAGTAAATACACGACTTCGTCATATTCGGGCAGATTCGTCAATGCTGTGGCAAAAACAGGGAGGCCTCCTACTACCGTAACTCCATTTCTTTCGCCAATATCTTTTGGTTTTCGCTGTGCAGAGCATTTGTCGTGTCAAAGGCTGGACACAAGGCCGAAGCAAACATGCTCTCTGTGGTCGAAAGGTGAACATCGCGACATCTACATTCCCCGTAGTTTTTTTCCGAGCATGTACAGAAGACGTAAAAAGCGCGTGTTAGGGTAAAATGAAGTCGCTGGACATGCCCTAAGTCTTCATATGACGGTCAGATGAAAGTTCAAAGCCAAGTCTGATTTTCAGATGGCCAAAAATCCTAGCAGAGTCTCCGGTTTGGACGCTTAGCGGTTATGCTCGTTTGTAACCCGCAACCACTAATTATTTGAAGTGCTGCAAGTCTCATCATCTCATGCAAACAGACTATGCAAATACGTTTCTCTGAATTTTCAGACATTCGTTCTAGATTTCTCTGAAAAATCAGACAACTTTTTCCTACTTCTCTGATAGTGAAAAGTGCATCGGACAAAATGTGCAAACCTTGTCTGATTCCTTAGACACGATTTTTTCCAAAAGAGAGCCCTGCTCCTGGATGTCTGTCGCCATGTTCGGGTAGTTGTAGCATTTGGCGACGCCTGTCAGGGTTTTGTTGCTGCCAAAGTGTCCAGCTAACACAGTGTCATGATATTCCTCTAGCGGTAGCTGCTTCAAGGGTGCATATTTAGGTACCCACAGCTTCTTAGTACCCTTCTTATATGCAAGCCCTTGGTCCCATAGAAGGAGTCGGCGTCTATCTGCTGCTGGAATCTGTGGGTCAGTGTTGTAGCCGTGCTGGAAGAGGCCTTTGAGGAGATGGTTCATCCCTTGCACTTGGAGGGAGGCGAGGTTCGGCGGTCTGCTGCAGAAGCCGAGACGTTTGACGGTGGTGTCGGAGGAAAATATATGGGAGGCTCTGCTATCTACTATGTCTCTGGCGTTGCATACTACCATCAAGAGCAGAGGAGTTTTGGACTCCCCCGTGTAGTTGAGAATCTTTCCACTAAGAGGGTCAAAGGGTATAGGGGTGGAGGACTTATGGGAAATAATGGATCCATTAGATTCTAATAGTGCAGCTGCTGCAGTAGGTGTGATAGGCAAGTGGTGTGTGAAGGGCGGATCCAGGGTGTAGGGTGTAGGGTTGGCTCGCGTCTGTGCCATCACTGGTGTCGACGTCGAAGGTGGGATTCCAGGTCATTGTAGCTGCCTTTGGACCTCCAGCTTCCCCCTCTACTGCTTCAGCCATGTAGCCACTCTGCATGGGGTCCATGGTGGCGTTGAAGGCTGGTTCGGAGAAAGGATATTGGCTCTGACAAAGGGCCGATTGGCTTTGACCGCTTTTAATTCCCCCCCAACGTTCGCCGGCACTGGAATAATTTCCAGAGGTTTTTGCTTCAATTGGAGACCTTCCCAGAACTTTTTGATAGCAGTAGAGACCTTAATTTCATTCTAAAGTAGAGCTTCTTTATAGGATTAAGAAAGCTTATTTTCAGGTGAAATAGGGTATTTTCCGTGGTTTCCCAAAACGATCGGGTGTATTTTCGCGGAGGTTTTCTGCTCCTCGGTGATTTCCCTTGACAAAATCTGGTCCTTGGCGACTACATTCGTGTCATGATTTCTCCTCGTTAGTGCCCAGTCATTCAGGTGCCGCTGATTTTTGTCTAGACTGACTCTGATTTTTCGGATCTTAACCCATCCGCCAGGTAGATCCGAAATCACTTGCGACGACCATTTTTTTGCTTCTGATTCGACGAGTCCTTGCTCAACAACTCTTCCCCACGGTTGGTGCTACCAAGTCCTTGCTCAGGAACTCTCCCCCAAGGTCGGTGCAAATCGCATTCATAAGACGGTCTTGTTGCCGCTCCACCATCGCCAACCAATCAATCTTCACCGTCTCAGCTACGTAACTATTCTTGAGCAGCACATACACCCAAGTCATGCGAGTGTAGACATCCACTATAGTGGGGAATTACTCAGCTCCAGCAGCTCCAAGCTTTAAGGGGCCCACCACATCCATCACCACCTCATCAAGTGGTGCCTTCGCCGTTGTCTCCGAGCTAGGGAACGGGTAGCGGGTGAACTTGGCTTGCATGCATGTTGGACAGCCAAGCACCTCATTGGGCTCCCCCTTGACACGTATCTCAATGACCATCTCTGGCTTAACTATCTGCTGCAAAATGGGCAATGCCACATGCCCCATTTGCCGATGCAAGGTCAGCCAATCACACTATCTCGTAGTGGAAGATGGGTTGGAGAAAGCGGCACTCGCAATTGTGCCCTACAAGCTCTCTCCTTTATCCTTTGCCACTGCTTATTTGCTGATCTTAACCTTCTCCTCCTTATTTTCACCATCTTTGGTTGCTTCACCACTCTCCTTGGGTTCACACGCCTTGCTGGTCTCTCCACGACTGCACTTCTTCGCATCACTCTTGGTGTCACCTTGGTTTCCGTCATCACCGCCACCAACCGCTTCAGTCTTGGTGCTGACGCTTGCTGCCACTTGCGTCCCCTTAGGCATGGGTACCATAGGGATTTGCCAAATCTCATTGTAGATGTCCCAAAGCTTCCGCTCACGAAGCCTCGCGGTATAGGTTTTGGATCCCTTGGAAGATGTGTCCATGCCGGCCTTTTGCAAACGCCGCACGGAAATCAGGTTGGCTGCAATGTTGGGCACCCAAAGCACGTTCTTGAGGCCCACCATCTTCCCATCAGCACCCTTGAACCTGGCCGTGCCCATGCCTTTCACCTCTGCTCGCTGCCCCAAAGCCGATGTAACATGCTTGACCGACAACAGTTCGAGTTTGGTGAGCAAGTCCACACGAGGTGTCATGCTATAGGTGGCGCCGCTATCGATCACCCAAAAGTCCAGAGAGTGAAGAGTGACCTTTCCCACAGTAGCTGGCTCCTCAAAGCCTTCCACACCTCCTCCTGCTGCTGCCGCTTGCTTCACTTAGGCCTGTCTCGTAGTCTCCACCTTTCATGCTTGCCGCTTCGCTTCCACGACCACCACAGCCTCCATTACCACTGCCTCTTCCTCCCCTTTCACCTCTGCCCTCTTGGCATCGAGAAAGGGTCCATCCTTCAGGCAATCTGAAGCAATCTCTCCACATGTGGCCGGTCTTGTGGCAAACGTGACATTCGCCATCAAATCGACCGCGCCCATGCCCGTAGCCATTATTGTTGTTGTAGTTGTTGTGTGATGTCATCATATGCTATCACATTCTGTCTGCCTCCCATCCCTTGTTTCAATTCGCATGCATGGTTTAACTGTATGTAAAAGAATTTGTGTGGTGTGTGTTTTAGAGGCTGGGAATGTGTTTTGTGATATTCTGTCTGAGCAGTTATTTGTGATGATAGATCTTGAGAAGATCTTTCCGACGCAACAAGAATCCCTTCAATCGGAGCAAGAACGCGAAAGCTTTGAAGATTCAAAGTTCATGAGCTTGCGTTACAATTGCGGCGGTTACAAAGTGAAGTTGTGGGGTGACTCTATATGGAGTTGGGACCTTTGGGGTTGGGGAAATTTGTCACTCTACTGTAACAGCTGCAAACTGGTTGGGAAGAACCAAGCTAGGTTTGCAAGGGTGGCCAACTTGGTTGGATTGGTTGGGAAGGGACAAATGTCAAAGTTGGGGTTCCTATAGGGAGGGAATCTTTGTGCTTATGGGGTTTCCTTGGTTGGGGACTCTCTTGGGACCTTCCCTCTCAATCCCTCTCTTCCATCCCAACCTTTCTCTTGCTCCTCTTATTCCTTATGAGATTCTTTTAAGTTCTCCTCCTACAGCTTACCCCTCAGTGCGTCGAAAGACATAGCGTCGCGAATACTCCATCAATCGACGTGATTCAAATTGAGAACGGTAGATACCATTACAAGCTACAATATATACAAGTTTCGCGACATTCCAACAGCTAGTGTTTTGTCGAAGTCGTTTCTTGTGAAGACGACTTTTCTGTCCAGAATTTCGGATTTATATTTTGAGTATTTCTAGCTCCTAAACACACCTAGACTCCGTCCTTAATCTTTACAAGTGGTATCAGAGCTATATTGAGGACATTGAGAGGAGTCTAAAGAAGTTTGAAGACCCTTCTAGACCCACCATGGCCTGTGGGTGTGCCTAAGTGGTGTTCTAAAGGTTGGATGTGTCTTCCGTTAAGGGGAAACTCTGCCGAAATTTCGTGGACGCCGACACTTGTGAAAATATCGAGGGAGCTGAGTGTGGACAGCAAAGGGGAGCTGAAATTCGTCATTTCTCAAGGAGAAGATGAATGAGAGGGGAGGAGATGCTAATGGAAGAGGAGCTGTACCTGAGAAGACAAGTGAGCCGCCGCCATCAAAAGTTGAAGCTTAGGATGGCTCCAACTATGAAGAATGGAGGAGGCGGATGAGGAGTGCCTTCAAACGATACAAGCTACTGAAGATTGATGTTGGGGAGGAGAAGATGTCGGATGAAGGCGAACCACATGAACGGTGGATTGAGAAAAGCGCGGTGCTTTTCGACCTCATCCTTCAATCGGTCAACAAGGAGATGTTCGAGCACATCAAGGATCTTGTGAAAGCAGATGATTCGGGTCCAAGGGCGTGGAAACTACTACGCGATGTGATTCAGCCCAACACTCTCCCGATGGTGATCGTGCTCGAGAAGGAACTTGCTGCCATCTCCATGCGACCAGGGGACGATGTGAAGCCGGTCCTTGACAAGATCAAGGACACCTATGCAAGGATGGCAGCAGCGGGCAGCAGTGTATCTCAGCTGCAGCAGTGCACCAAGATCATCTCGGTGTTGGACAACTCTTGGGACAACCTCATCCCCACCCTCAACTCTCAGCAAGATCAATGGACACCTGAGTGGCTAAGGCAGCAGATTCTGCAGGAGGACTTCCGCAGACGCCATGTGGGAGGTGGTGCCTCCACTAAGATTGCTGAGGGGTATGGAGCTGCAGGGCGCCTCAGAGGAAGAGGGGGTTGGACAGGCCGAGGCAGTGGGAGGAGCTTTGGCAAAGGTAGAGGCCGAGGTGACTATAATGAGGGCATGGGAGCTCTAGTGGCAGGGGGAGTACTAGAATGGAGGGCACCTGCTGGTACTGCAAGAAGGTCGGGCATCCTTGGTTCAAGTGCTTCAGTAGGCCGGAGGGATGGGCACCTCCAGGCATGAAGCCACCCAGTGATGAACGCGCACAAGGTGGCACTGTGCAAGGCTCAGGTGCACAAGGTGAAGGTGCACAAGGTAATACCTATCCTGGGATGTTTCTCATGGTTGAGGATGTGCATGGGCATGAGGGTGATGTGGGATCTGTGGGAAAGGTTGTGATGCACCCTCTCACGCACTGGGTGATTGATTCAGGTTGCACCAGTCACATGACCCCACGGGCAGATTTGCTTGATAAGGTAAAACCCCCTGGGAAGATTAAGTATGTGGCAGCAGCGTCAGGTTCTTTGCTCCCTGTAATTGGTTTTGGGAATGCCAAGGTTAAGGGAGCTAATGGGGAGCTTGTGGGGCTTGGAAATGTTCTGCTGGTTGAAGGTTTGTCTGCTAACCTTCTCTCAGTGTGGCGACTGCAGAAGAGCAAGGCCGAAGTGACCTTTGGACTAACCAGCAGCCATACAAAGCTTGGGAAGAAGGTGCTGTGGAGTCTGGAAGAGGAGACCAACTACATCAAGGACCTGTGGCAGATGCCCAGCATCCCTTGGAATGGGAAGACTCCAACAGCAGCAACGGCAGCAGCGGCAAAGGCAACAGCAGGAGGAGATGCAACTGCACCAAATGATGGGGTCCTGGAAGCAATCAAGAAAGTGCAGCAGCAGCAGAGACATGGTGAGGTGCTTGCTGGTGTGGATGCGAGTGCAGCATGGGCTAAGGCTTCATCAAGGAGTGGTGAGGCCGATTGGGAGACATGGCATGAGAGGCTGTGTCATGTGAACTTCCCTATGCTGCAGAAGTTGGTGAAGGATGGGAGCCTGAAACGATTGGAGGTCAAGGGAGGAGTGAAGGAGATTGGGAGCTGCCCTACATGCTTGGAGACCAAGTTCTCCAAGTTCCCCTTCAACAGCACTACAGGACCAGCCAAGACCCCACTTGCACTTGTGCACATGGATGTGGTGGGGCCCACAAGAGCTCCTTCTCTCTCAGGCAGCCGCTATTTCTTGACAATTGTGGATGACCACACTCGAGCAGTGTGGGTTTACCCTTTGAAGAGCAAGGGGAGGTGGCAGCGGCTGTCCTTAAGGAGTGGATGCCTAGAGCTCAGAGGGAATGCGGACACAAGGTGAAGGTGATCTGCAGTGATAATGGTGGGGAGTTCATTGGAGCTGATTTTGAGGGGGAGTTGAAGAGGAAGGGGATCCAACATCAACTGACAGTACCCTACAACCCGCAGCAGAATGGCATGGCTGAGAGGTTCAACAGGACCCTGCAGAAGGGGGCACGCACTCTCCTTGGGCGTGCAGGGCTGCCTGATCCGTTTTGGGTGTCTGCACTGAGGCAGGTCGCCCTTGTGAAGAACAGGGTGCTGGCTACAGTTGGGGATAAGGAGTGGATCCCATATGTCAAGTGGTATGGGAGTGCTCCAGCTGTGAACATGCTGAGGGCATTTGGGTGCATGGTGGTGTTTCATGTGCCTAAGGAGAAAAGGGGGAAGTTGGAGGCTTCAGGAAGATGGGGTGTGCACTTGGGGATTGCAAAGGATCACAAAGGGTGGCTGCTATGGGACTTGACCACCCAAAAGCTGAGTGTGTCAAGGGATGTGAAGTTTCTTGAGTCCCTGTACTACAAGGAATGGAAGCAGCAGCAACAGAAGCTTCCATCTACACCGCTAATTGTGGAGGCAGATGAGTTGCAGCAGCCTTCAAGACAAGTGGAGGTTGCAGTGTCTGAGGAGGAGATGTCTGGGGTGACAGAGGAAGGGGGAGAAGCTGAAGTGGAGCAGCAGCAGCATGAGTCTCCACCTCGAGTTCCACACCTGCCTGAGCGACCTAGGAGGGATGTGCGCCCTCAGGTGAGGCTGACCTATGGGGGAAGAGGCAAGCCGAATGTGGTGGAGGCTGGGAGTATGGTTGAGCAGGTTGAGGAAGATGAGATCGTTCACTGCTACTGGGCACCAATCCCTGAGCCCAAGACTCGAATGGACCAAATGAGGAGAAGTGGAAGGCGAGTGAGGATGAG